CCAGCTCACCTCCATGTGTGCTGCTGTGGCACCAGGCTGCCTGAGGATTGCTGCCATGGGACAAGGGTCACACTCGGTGGCCACCCCATAGTGCTGGCTGCTCACAGCACCTCAGGAAGCAGTGCTGGCACAAGCAGCTCCACGCTGGTGCACATGATGGGTCACTTCTCTGGGCTGGGTCCTGCATGGCAGCAGAAGACATAGGACTGTGTCTTGGGGCCATTGGGTGCTGATGTGTGACCTCTCCATTAAAGTACCTTTGTCCACCCTCAGTGCCAAGAACTGTTTATTCACTCCTTCATGGTGTACAGCAGGGGAATGGCCCAACAGGGACAGGGACTGTGCTTGATTTCCACTCCTAAGAGGTTTTTGTAGTGTTGAGAGAAAGCCCGTACAGGCTGGTGGGGCTGGGAGAGGATTAGTGGATTGCTGTTGCAGAGTCCTCGCTGGTCCCTGGACTCCAGCCTGGGGTGAGGGACCAAGAAAGGCTCAGCCATCCAGCAGCAGCAGATGGCTCTTGAAGAGTGAGCTCATACCACAGGAGCTTCTCAATGGAGACACTGACTGCGTCCTGTGCAATCCACTGCTGGGGTGGGGAGGAGCTTGCTTGGCTCCCTTCAGAGCTGGCTACTGCTGGACTGTGTCAGCTGAGTTTTTCTGTGTATCAGTGTCTGCTCCATCAGGCCAGCAGTAAAGTGACCCTCCCCCTCCTGACCCTCCATGGTGCTGCCACCCTGCCCTATTCTGGTACAGGCCCTTGCATGCAGCCCTCATGGTACTGTGTGCTGCTTCCCCAGGCAGGTTGAAATTTCTAGTGAGTGCAGCTGGTCCATGGGTCCCTTGCCATCCCGTTGCTGGCTGGGATGCAAAACACCTGTTGTCACCATGATGGTCCCACAGTGGTCCCCTCCCCACAGAATCATGGAATCATTAAGGTTGGAAAAGACCCTAACATCATAAAGTCCAGCCTTCATTTGCCTTGTGAAGCTGTGCCTGGTCCCCTCTCTCGTGACACAGATGCTTCTAGCATCATTTCCCAGTGATATTTAATAAAGTCCTGGGGCTCTCCTAGGGGGTTTCTGGAAGCAAGCCTGCTGACCTCAGTGTGGAACTGGAGCCACCCCTGCCACTGTCCCTGGGCCAGTGGATGTCCGGGGCCAAGACCTCACTTCCTTGCCAGGATGCTCACAGGCGGCTGCCTCTGGCCTCACCTCCAGTCCTCCGGGGTTGGGTTATTTTTCAAAGTGTTCCAAGGACACGGGTTGTTGTTGCCGATAAGCAGTGAGGGGCAGCTCCGCCCCAGCAGGAACAGCTTGTCTCCTGGCTTCCCATCCGCCCCAGAAAACACTGTCCCATCTCAGCAAGCAGCATCCCTGCAAACCTGCCACAGGTTTGCTGACCATCTCCACGATGCCACATTCGGTAAGTGGTGGGGCCACAGTGCTTGGGTAGTTTGGGGTCCTGGGACGGGTGGGAGCCACTGCTGGCTCTGGTGAAAACAAGTGAGGTGGTGGAAAGGAAATGCCTAGCCCGGCGCTGCTCTCAAGTGTCAGTGTAAGTCCAGGACAGCCCCACTGATGAGGGGTGTCTGCAGGGGGTGCGCAACATCCCCCACCATGAGGCAGCACTGGCGGGTATGCCAAGTAAGGAGGGACTGGCAGAGGTCTGGAGGTCACTGCCTCAAAAAGTGTCTCCCATGGGCTGGGAATAGGCATTTGGTCAGGCTGAATATCCCTTGGGGACATTTAATGCTGCTCTAGTTGCTTGTGGCAAAAGAAGTACCCGATGGGCAACTGGAAATACAACTGGTGGAGCCCACTTCTGTTGCCCCTGATGCAGAGCAGCCCTTCAGCTTTGTCTCCATCACCCACTGTGTGCAGCACAGCCCTGTGCTTCACATGCTCCCCTGCCTCAGAGCCTGGCTTCGTGCCCTTGGAGACATCTCATGAGGCTACAGGTTCCCATCAAGACAGTTTCCTTCCACAGACCCACATGGGTCTCACCTCAGTCACTGCTCTGCAGGATGTGGGGATCTTTGGTGAGGGTGGCACCACTCTAGTTGTAGTAGGGCAGGCTGGGACAGAGTGTAAGAACCCTGGGGAGAGATGTGGGAGGGAAGCACTCCCCATTCCTGCCTGTGGGTGCAGATTTCTGCCTTGTCGAGGCAGGGGGTGAGGCTTGGATCCTTCTACAGTGCAGGCTGGTGATCTGCGTGCTGCTGGGGCTGGGGTCCCTGCTGGTGAGAGGGCTGCCCCCATCCTGCCCCCATACCTGCCAGTGCTACGACACCTCCAAAATCTTCTGCTCAGACGAGAGGATGCGGGAGATCCCGGCGGGCCTGCCAGGCAGTGCCACACAGCTCTTCTTTGTGGAGACAGGCCTGAGCAGTGTCCGCAGGGGGGCCCTGGGCACCAGTACCACCCTCACCAAGCTGGTCTTCCTCAACAACAACATCCAGGAGCTGGAAGCCGGTGCCTTTCAGTGGCTGCCCAGCCTGACTGAGCTGGAGGTGTCAGGAAACCCCTTGCCAGCAGTCAGCCTTGGGGTGCTGATGGGGTTGACCAACCTCAGCAAGCTCTCCCTGGGTGCCAATGCCATCAGCTCCTTGCACCCAGGGTTCTTCACTGCTGCATGCAGCCTGCAGGACCTGCGCTTGCGAGGGAACAGGATTGTGGCATTGCCCCCCGGCATCTTCCACCCACTCCGGCAGCTCCAGGCCCTGGACCTCTCACAGAATGTCCTGGTTGAGCTGCCAGAGGGGCTGCTGGCCCCACTCACTGCCCTCCACCTCCTCAAGCTCAGCGACAATCTGCTGGTGCGGGTGCCCCCCGGCGCTTTCAGGGCACTTGGCCAGCTGACTGAGCTCCACCTGGATGGTAACCGGCTGGAGGAGCTGCCACCCGGCATCTTCACCGGGCTGGGGGGGCTGCGGCGGCTGCAGCTGCAGCACAACGCCCTGGGCAGCCTGGCCCCTGACATCTTCACTGGTCTCCTCAACCTCACTACCCTCAACCTGGAGGGCAACCGCCTGGCCACCCTGCCTGCCACCCTCTTCACTGGCACACCCGGCCTCCTCCACCTCTCGCTGGGTCGCAACCAGCTGGAGACGCTGCCCCGGGAGCTCTTCTCCAACCTGTCGGCGCTGCAGACCCTGGTGCTTTCACACAATGCCATGGACTACCTGCCCACTGAGGTTTTCCAGGGACTGGCAGCACTGACAGCACTACAGCTGAGCCACAACAACCTCTCCAGCCTGCCAGCAGGGCTCCTGGCTGGGCTGCCCCTCCTCACTGCCCTGGCACTGGACCACAATCGCCTGGTCCGCCTGCCCCTGGGGCTCTTCGATGCCAATGATGAGCTGGTGCGTGTGGGGCTGTCTGACAACCCCTGGGCCTGTGACTGCCGCCTTGCCTATCTCCTGCACTGGCTCCAGGGCTTTGCCGAGCCCCTCATCCATGGGCAACCCTTCTGTGCCAGTCCAACTGCTCTCCAGGGACAGTCCCTGCTGGAGGTCCCCCGGGGGCAGCTGGAGTGCCCGGGAGGACCTGGTGTCCCCCCAGAGGAAGGCTGGGACAGGGATGCTCCAGGACAGTGCACCTACAGCAACCCTGAGGGCACTGTAAGCATGGTCTGTGATGCCACAAGCTGCCAGCAGCTCAGCCTTCGCCTCCCTCCTCCTCCTCCTGAGCAAGTGCAGGGGTTGGGGCCGGCATACCAGGGTGCCTGGGTGCTGCACTCCCACTGTGGCACACTGCAGGTCAGTGTCCTTGTCACAGCACAGAGCGGGAATGAAGCCACATCGCCAGGTCTCCCTGCTGTGCCCTAGAGCTCAGGCAGGTGCTGGCTTCTGCACTGGAAACCTCTGAGCCAGCCTGGGAAACAGCACCCAGTCTTGCTCTGCTACCCCTGCCTTGGTCACCAACCATCACTGAGCTCTCCACAACAGCTGGCCTGGTGGTATGTGTTTCCTGTATATTTCAAATATAATTAAAATGTATATATTATTTCTGTGCAACCAGTTCCCATGGTTCTGTCCCCCCACGTCTGCCTGTGTACCTGGGAGAGGCAGTGAAGGTCGATGTGATCCACTGGGGTCTGGTCTGGGGCTGTGCATGGTATGGTGTGGGTGCAGGTGCATGGTGGTGAGTAGGTGGCTCTTTGGCACGCTCATGGTGTACTCATCTCTGCCCACTGCAGCCCACCAGCCCCACCTCCTGCCCTGCTTCCCTTGGCACTGCAGACACCCAGCTGCAGCCTGGCAATAACTCTCAGGGCATGGTTTTGGGGTGTCCAAGGGAAGCATGGGTGAGTGCTACTGACTACCCAGCGAGGGGCATAGGCTGCCTGGCTGCAGGGTGAGCTCCAGCCCAGGCATCCACCAGCTCATCCCCCCATACCCTGCCAGGGCTTGGTCTGCAGCCCTGCAGCCTGGAGCTGGAATGCAGGAAATTCCACCTGAACAGGAGGAAGAACTTTACTGTGGGGTGACTGAACAGGTTGCCCAGCAAGGCTGTAGAGTCTCGTTCTCTGAAGATACTCAAAAGCCACCTGAACAGAGCCTTGAGCAATACACCTCAGGGAGCCCTACTTCAGGGGGGAGGTTGGATTAGATGACTTTCAGTGGCCCCTTCCAACCCTCATCTATCCTGTGATGCTGATTCTGTGACCCGTGGAGAGGAGACACAGAGTCCCAGCAGCGCTGCCCACGCAGGGGGTGGCAGGTAAGGTGGGTGCTCCCGCGGGAGGAGCGGGTGTGGGTGCACACACCGGGGTGTAAGTGCGTGTGTGTCTGTGCGTGGTGGTGGGGCGGTGCTGCGGCACCATCTCGCGGCGACAGGGACAGCGCTCCGCGGGCCGGGCAGCGCCGGGGGATCCCTCCCTGAGCCCCGCCGCCCCCCTCGGAGCGCCCCTCCCGGCCCGGCCCCACTGCTGGGCTGTGTGTCCTTGGAGGCCCTGCCCTGCTGCTGCCCACCTGGGGTGGACAGGGTCTGCGCTTGGCCCCACCTGCCCTGGCAGTGGGCTGCGATCCCAGCCCTGCTTTAGCCTCTGGGTTAAAGAAATGTGTGTATGTGGCATTTAGGGACATGTTTTAGTGGTGGACTTGTCAGTGCTGGGTTAACAGTTGGACGTGGTGATCTTAGAGGTCTTTTCCAACCTACATGGTTCTATGACTGCCAGCCCCATGCTCCTGGGAGCAATGCAGACAGGCAACACTACTTCCCAGATACAATTCTGCACAGTCATCCTGCTGTCTCTCCCAAATGGGGGACTGCCACTGTGCTTCAGACATCTCCCAGGTGATGCTGGCATGGCCACCTCCAAGCCTGGACCAAGGTACTGCAGTTGGATGCAGTTCCCCAAACCTGGCACAGCTGCCACACTGTGGCCTGGGGTGGCTGTTTGCAATCCTGTTGTGAGCTCTGTCCCCTCATGCACTTAAGCTCCTGCCACTCTTGCAGATTCTGGAACAGCCTGGCACCAAGTGGGTACCTGGATGCATACGGCATTGATGTTGGAAAGGAGTAAGGTTGTTTAAAATGTGCAGTGGTTTGTTTTTAAATTTACCAAGAAAGCTGCAATGAAGCCCAGCAAGCACAATCTGAGCCTTAATAAGTGCAGGTGAAAACTAAAGAAGACATGTTTAAATGCAATCAGTGCAATTACCCATTGGGAAGTGATGGATACCCAGTCAGTTCAAGTCTTTGCATCAAAAAGGGTGTTTCTTCCGACAGGATGCCCTGCACCAGCCAGCAGCCCTGGGTGTCCCTGCAGGAGGGTCTTTGGCCTGTATTAGGGTGCAGGACAGGACACTCAGCCCCAGCCCTCTGGTTTGGAGCTGTGGGGCTGAGCACAGAGCTTGGGCGTTGGCATATCTGTCCAGCCACAGATGTTATCACTGTTATGAGCATAAACAAGTGGCTCCAGAACTGCACCTTTAGCTACATAAGCTGAATCCTGAGGAAGGAAACAGCTTACTGTTGTGTCGGTGGGGGTGGTGCCTATGAAGCTGGTGGGTTATGCTGCTGGAGATATGGGACTGCAGAGACATTGGCTGCAAAACAGGCTGGCCTGGAAATCTTCAGGTTTCCCTGGATGTGACTAGTCAAGTGGCGCCAGGAGATAACGCCTGAGGAGTACGTGACTGAGTCCTCTCCGAGGGGTTTCTGCCATGGCCTCCCACACAGGGGCACAGCTCCGCTGCTGCCTCCCCGGCCATCCCTTATCTCCCCACGCAGACCTGTGCCCTGACCTCACTGAAACCAGGCCCTGGGCCTGGGCTGTGGATAAAGAGCTGTCCAGGTGATGGGACCCCCATCCGGTGTCCTCACTCCACACGTGGTTTGTTCCTGCAGCCTGGACTTGTCTGTGAGTGCTCCGCCAAGTAAGTGATACAAAAGCTTTTTTTGCTCTTTAAAATGTTCTGGGAGAGGCCCTGTGGGGGGCTGTTGATTGTTTCCTTGCAGCAAGAAGCACGAGAGGCTTCAGTGCCATGAGCTGGATGGGGATGCCCCTTCATGACCCTGCACTGCTGGAGGGTGGGACAAGCAAGGGATCACACTGAGGGTTTTAAAAGAGCTCTGCAGTTCAGAACTGTCTGTTTTCATCCCCATGCACCCAGCTGTTTCCACCTGCACATTTCACCCACTGTGCTGCTCCTGCAGCTGAAGTGAAGCAGGCACTTTTACATCTGCAGCTCCAGCTCCTCCACCTGAGTCTCCCTGAGGAGAGGATGGGCAGGGATCAGCAGTGGCTTCTGCCCTGGGCAACCCTGCAGGGCAGCTGGCACAACCAATGTCACCACCTCCCATTGGTTTCTCTTCAAACCCAGTGGCTTTCAGCCTCCAGTATTTGCTGAGCTCTCAACATTTAAAAAACCCCCCAACTTCTCACAGCTAATGTACCCTCCCAACATAAGGTTTTTGCATGTCAGCTTTGACGGACACCAAGAAGCAACCTATAGCTCTTTTCCCTGCTCCCACCCACGGCTGCAAATCAAAAGTTGGAATCTGCGATCCCAGTGCAATGCTGACGGCCGTTAAACCCCAGCTAATGTGTTAGCTGAGTGTTTCCAAATGTTTCCATGGAAGTGGTGGGCTCTACTAGTGGGTGTGCATCAGTGATTTCACTTTCTACCTGCAAGGCCAGAGCCCTAAACCTTAGGTAATAAAGAGTTCATCTATGGACATTTCACAGTGTTTTAACAAGCCTTGCTCTAAAGCTTGGTTGCTGCTCATAAGTTGACCATTTCTGTCTGACAGAGCTGCACAACTAAGGCCAAAATATGGTGCAATTAGCAAGAATCCTGAAAAGGAGATGCTTAGGAGCCATGTTTTAAATGATTGCCCTGAACTGAGAGAAGCAGCAAGGAAATAGCAAGTCCACCCAGCATGGTGTGGAAATTCTGAGTACACAAGATCCTCTGGTCTTGGCTGCCTCCTGGGACCCTTGTTGATCCCTCATTAGCAAGTGCAGGGCTGACTGCTCCTGTTGTTGCATGAATGGGCTGTTGCCCTGCTGACTAACTGGACCCACTGGGGCAGCACTAATGAGCAGCAGCACTTTGCCTTCTTCACCCAGGCAGACACCAAGCCTGCAGCTGAGACATGGGAGGAGGGAGAGAACACACTGTCCAGCCCTTGTCCCCCTGGAGCATCTGCCAGTGCCAAGCCATGAGCTGGCTCGCTCTCCCTCCCCATCCCTCTGTACCACAGCAGTGAACTCATCTAAATGCAGTGTGTGTTTGCTTGCATGGTCTCCTTCTTACTGAATGAGTTACGATATCTGAGTAGAAGAGTCCTGAGAGCTGAACAACAGTGTGATGCCACAATTCATGAGCTGTGAACACAAGTTTTTTGTTCTTCATAACTGATTTTTTTAAACCTTTTTTTTTTTCCAAGACAATGTACCAGCATTTCCTTTTCCTTTTCTTCCTCTCCTTCCATCCCCATAAATGCCAAGATCAAATCCTGGGTGAAGATCCATATGAAATGCCCAAAGACTACCAGCAGGTCTACAGAGGGACAAAAAATGATGTCAAAGAGATCCCAAAGATTGCAAAGCCCTTCGTTTCTGAAATGATCTTTGTGCAAACCAGCATCACTGCTATAAGGAAAGGTGCCTTCAGGTACATGCCTAACCTGATCAAGATTTTCTTTATTGGCAACAAGATCAAGACAGTTGAACCTGGAGCCTTTGATAATCTGGACAAGCTGAGGGACTTGGATATCTCTGGTGCCTCATTAGAAGAACTATCTGTGGGCACTTTCCAAAACCTCCCAAGCTTACAGAGGTTGGAGCTGAGAGACAGCCAACTCAGATACATCCCCAAAGGCCTCTTTGATGGGCTGGAAAATTTGGGAGAGCTCTCCCTGCACATCAATGCAATCCCTTCTCTTCCAGAAGGCATTTTTGATTCTCTCGTCAATTTAACCTTTTTGGACCTGTCTAGAAACAGGATCACAACTCTTCCTGTGAATGCTTTTAGCAAACTTATCCGGCTGCAGGTCCTCCGGCTGTATGAGAATGAGTTGCAAGACCTCCCAGAGGGACTGTTGGACAGTCAGATGGAGCTGCTGGAGCTCAGCCTCCAGAGCAACAGGCTCAGGGAGCTGCCACCCATGTTCCTGAGAAGCCTGCCTCACCTAGAGAAACTCCTCTTGGACAACAATCTCATCAGGGTTCTCCCACCTCAGGGCTTTTTTGGTTTAAACAAATTGAAGCTGCTGACTCTGGGTTCAAACCATATCATGGAGCTCCCCTGCTGCCTTTTTGACACCATGCCACACTTACGGGAGCTGGACCTGGGCAGGAACAGTTTGGCCACACTTCCAGATGGCATCTTTGTCAACCTCACATCCCTTGGAAAACTCATCTTGTCCCACAACCAGCTGTTAGCCCTGCCAAGAGGAGCCTTCACTGGGCTCAGTAAGCTCCTGGACCTCCAGCTGGACACAAATCAGCTCTCTGCTCTGGATGAAGAGGTCTTTGCTTCTCTCCCAAATCTGAAAACCCTCAACCTTCGAAAGAACCAACTGGAGAGTGTTCCCCGAGGGCTCCTGGACCCCCTGAAGAAGCTCAGCTCAGTGTATCTGAGTGGTAACCCATGGAGATGTGATTGCAACCTCTGCTCCCTGCACAGCTGGATCCTGAGTAACAGTGAGAAGATCAAATTGTCCACCCAAGTCTCATGCAAGAGCCCACCCCATCTGGCAGGGCAAGCAGTAACATTGCTGAGGGATGACCACTTAATTTGTCCAGCTACTCTGCCTCTTTCAGCTTCTTTTATCCCATCTCTGTCATTTAACTCCACATCATCACAAAGGATGTCAACTTTGTCATCACTTGGAGGCTTGTCCACAGCAATGCCAACCTTGCTGTCATTGGCAGCCTTTCCCATCAGGACATTGACAACCGTTCTGTCACCTGTGGTCAGCTCTGCCATGTTGCCAGCTGTCCCAACGGAGGGCACCTTCACCACTCCATTGCCAACCGTGCCATTTAAGGCCTTTGTCACCACCCCACCATCAGCTGTGCTTCAGAAGGCCTTAAGCAACAGCCCACCAACAACCAATGTGCCCAAGTCCTTCACCACCACACCATCAACAACCATGGTGCCAAAGGCCTCCATCATCACCCCATTACCAGCTGCGCTGCCAGAGACCTTCATTAACACACCACCAACAACTGTGCTGCCAACAGCCTCCATTGCCAAACCATCATCATCAACCGTGATGCTCAGGGCTTTCATCACCAGCCCATCACCAGCTGTGCCAACTTCAGCCATCATAAGCCTACAGTCTCCTGGGGCCACCCACCCAGAACCTGTGCCATCCACTCTAGCTTCTGCCACCACGCAGGTGCCAACAAGCCCGCTGGCACCCACCACCAGACATGTGCTTCCTGTTCTTATGGTGCCCACCAGACCACTGGCAACCACCACCAGACAAGTGCCTCCTGCTCTTTCAGTGCCCAGGGAGAGGCCAGCCACCATCCCACAGGGAACACCCAAAACCTCCCTTGTCTCAGCCCCCTCCATGGCACTCTGGCCATCCCCCAAGACTGCTGAACTGGGCACGGTCCCACTGGCCTCACACTCCCCATCCCACCATGCTCCTGCACCAGGCAGGGAGCAGGACCATGCCACCACATGGGACTTGTCCCCAGCTGGCACCCAGCCCACCCCCAGTGCTCCCCAACATGCTTCTGCCCCGGCAGGCACCGTCCTACTCCCAACGCCTCCCATCCCTTTGCCACCAGACCACACGAGCCCCTGCCCGGCCTCCCCGCCCCTGGCCCCCGGCGGTCATCGTGCCTGGGGCTGGTCCCTGCGGGCCAGTCCACGGCAGTGCCGGCTGTCCCTGGCGCTGGGGCTGGCCGCGCTGGCGCTGCAGGCAGCCTGCACGCTGCTGTGGGGGATGCTCGCCCTTCTCCTTCACCAGGACACACGACACCGCCCCGGGCCGCCTGTGAGGCTGCTGAGCCTTCAGGCTCTGGCTGATCCGGGGACCCCCGAGCCAGCTCAGGCACCGCTTTAAGCTTCGCTGCCCCTGTGTGACCTAGGCTGTGCCCGTTGTCCTTCTTTGGGATCTGCAGCCGTGCTGGCCGCAGAGTGTGTGTATCCCTGGGGCTGGGGACCCAGCACCCAGGCCGTTCCCAGGATGGGGGACTCGACACCCAGGCCGTTCCCAGGATGGGGGTCCCAGTAGCCAGGCCTTTTTGGGATGCCTTCCAACTGACGCCCGGCGATGCTCGCAGACTGAAAGCCTGTATGCGGTGTCCCTGCCTGACGGCCCTTCTGCCAAACGACACTAGATGGCATCCCGACACAGGCAGTGGCTGCCACCGCCTTCCTGCGGCCACTGAAATGCCAGAGCCCCCGCACACGCCGGCCAGGACCCGCCGCACCGCGGACACGGCCACTCTTGCTCGCAGGGTCAGGAGCCCCGGCCCGAATCGACTCGCCAGCCCTGGAAGGTACCTGCAGTCCTTGGGGAAGGACATGCCAAGGCTTCTCGCCCCGCGCCCTGTCTTCTTCCCCGTGCCATATTACGGGGTGTGTCAGTGCCTGTACTCCTCTTCCCCTCTCCTGTTCACCTCTTCCCCTCTCCTGTTCTCTTTCCTCCTCCGTGATATTAAAGCCCCCCCTGCACCTCTGGGCTGACAAGAGGATTATTTTCATCCCAGTGCTTTTCTTGCCATGACCTGCTGTGGAGTGTTCCTGTTGCTTGCTGGAGTCTGGGGTCCCCAGTCAGTGCCAGCCATTGGGGACTGGTGTAGGATCAGGGCTGCACACCCTCCACAGGCAGCAACACAGTGAGACAACAGATGTGCTTTTCTTCCCCTTCTTAAACCTCATGTCCCCCAAAACCTCTTGACAATGCTGCTTGCCCTGGTCCCTCTGGTAGAGTGATGTTTCAGCATGGCCAGCCTTGTACTTCTCTACCATGACCTCACCTGATGCTGAGCCCCTGCTGCAGGCCGGACACTGGCTCTTGGGAAGCTTAGGAGGAAGGGGCTAATGCTCCTCACAACTGAAGGGTTGATGTGCAGCTTCACCTCCAGTCCTGGGCTCCTGCAAGGCCTAGGAAAGCGCCAAACTTCAACAAAAGTGAGGTTTCTGCCATTGCAGAAAGTGCTGAAACCTTACCTGGAAAGCTTTATTCCAGAATTGAGCCAATGAACACAGGGGTTGTTCCCTTATTTCGGTCTCTGGGTAGCTTTTTGGCTCTAGGCTCCGTGTTGACTTTGCCCTGTGCAAGGTAAGCTGCTCCGAAATTCAATCACTCCAGTTCCTAGAGTTGCAGGTGTCTGTCTTCAACTCCTTGCCTTTGCCACTGGCACCTGCTCTGTCCTGTTCTGCCTTTGGGTGCCCTTCCCCTGTTGTGGGGCTGCCTGGCTTTGCGGGGTCCCAAGGGGAGAGTCCCTGAAAATCAAGTCTGGACATGTATTTTGCAAGGAAAAACAGAAAAGCAGCTCAGAAACCTCCTGGCCAGCAAGCCCTGAGCCTGGTGCCCAGTTCCCTGGGCCCAGTTCCCTTGCCTGGTGTGAGACCACGGAAGGGGAAAAGGGGCTTTGTGTTAGGGTACCTGCCTGCAGCTATGCATTAGGGACCTGGATATACCTCTTTGCTAAGAACCTGTGCAGTGTTACAGGCCCTTCGGCTATTCCTTGAAGCCCTGCTGATGGCTGTGAAATACGGGAGGCGAGCATGGGGCAGCACATCTGGGCGGGATGGAGCGAGCGGCTCCAGGGCTGGGGCTGGCACTGCAGGTAATGAGATACAGATGAGGGAGAGGGAGTGTTTTTTCTGGCAGTCCAGATGGACTCGGCTTAATACTTGATTTAGAGGGTTTGAAAGTGGGGCCTGGCTGCTGGGGAACAGACCCCGAGCACTTCCCGGGGCAACGAGGGGGGGTCTCCACTGGCTTTTCAGATATTTAATGGCCCAGCGCAGTCTAAACAGGGAAGTACTTCGGGGTGAGATTAGCACAACATAATCACATCTTAAAAGGTCTTCAGAGACACAAGGCACGTCCGCTCTCGTATTAATTACTTGTTATTAATAAAGCTGGGGTCAGGCGCGAGGTGTTCTCTCCGGAGCGGGCTGGTTCCCTCTTTGCAGAGCGGTGGTGTATCTGAAGGCAGCACAAAGCTTTGCAGCCTCCACCTGTGCCCATCCGGCTCTGGAAACCAAATGGCCAACATTCCTACAGCTGCCTTTAAAACTAATTTGCCCCATAATACCCCAAAAGGGCCATGTCTTTCTAAGTGCCCAGAACACCTTGGAGTGCTGTAAAATAATGACAGCCAAGGGTGTTCTCAGCACGGGAATTTCCTGCTATGATTGATTTCTAATTTGCAATGAAAATACAGCCACCCATGTTGCCGGGACCAGGTTGGTGCAGCTGGCTCACAGGCAGGAGTCACCTCCCTCCATCACGTTAGGAACAATCCTTAGAGGGCTATAGCTGGGCTGGAATGCCCAGGATTGCCCATGCACCGAATGAGATATCACCTCCCTTCACTCTCCCTCTGCTTGCTGCTCCTTGCATAGGATGCCCCTGGTTTTTGCTTTGGGAAAAAAAAAAAAAAGTGTGAGCATCCCTGTGTGGCAACTCCAGGCTGCTTGTGGCATTGTACACCTCTTCCTGGTTACTGTGATTGCCCGAGGTCCTCATAGCTCACCTCAGGTGACCAAAGTTAGAAGCAGAGACAGGACACCATGCATGTGTGTCCTAGAGTAGTGCTGGGATCAGGAGTCTCCAGCATGGCCTGGAAGTTTCAGAGCTGCCACTGGCTCTCTTCCAGCCCTGTGCAGGTGAGAAGTGGTTCCCACAGCTCTGTCACTCATGCTGTAGTGCCGACCTATAACCCCTCTGCCTGTCAGCCCTGCTGGGAGACACCCACACTGCGGGTGTGTTCCTTCCACCTGCCTCTGTTCCCCTTTCTGCCCCTGGGGCACCCCATGGGCGGGAAAGGGGCTTGTGAGAAAGAACCCTTTATTGTGGCTGGTGGGAAGTGGGGCAATGAACACCTGCATGAGGGGATTTGCACAATAACCTGGGCGAGCAGCAAGCCTGGGCTTTTGGCAGGCAAGTTTCACTGCTGGCTTATGACGGGAACATGTCCCAACTCGTGGCCACGCTGCCATGACTTCCTCACGGGGTGCCTGCCTCGTGTGCCTGTCCTGAACACGTGCAGAGCTGTGCTGGGAGTAGTGTCTCAGTGGCTGCTGGTGTGGTTTCAGTTGGCATGGAAGGACTGGGGGCTGGCTGCTCCATGTGCTGTGGGCAGGGCAAGAAGGGGCTGGTTTGGCACCCTATCCTATAGGAGCAGGGAGGTGCTGGTGATGCTGCTGGAAGAGGTGGGATGGGTGACCTGGGACCTGCAGGTTGAGGACCTGAGCCAGGGTAGCTCCCTGGCAAGGGCAGCTGCAGCTGCTGGCATTAGCCTAAGGACTAGCTGGGCAGGCAAGTGCAGCACTCATTCACCCCCTACTGCGCTCAGCAGAGATGGCCCTGGGCTGGCAGTTGTTGCTCAGTGCTGCTGTGCCCCCTCGATGCTGGTGTTGGTTTTGAACACCAGCACCACTCCTCCATGTGTCTTCTGGATGGTTCGTCTCTCCCTCTCCATCCTTCATCTGCAGCAGCCCTCCCCACAACCACTCACAGTACCCATCCAGTCACATCAAGCTGCCCCTTGCCAAGGAGCCCCGTGAGACGCAGGGGCCAGGAGCTGAACTGGGACATTCATTCATCTGCTTTGGCCTTGGCATCTCACACCCCTCCTGCAGCGGGGGCCCAACCTCCCCCAGGCCACACAGGGCAGCGAGAGGACACCCAGCATGGGGGGCAGGGCTCAAATGGGGGGGGGGCACCACCGTCACTCCCATCCTGCCTGCCTCATGCCTTGGGCTGCCCAGGTTTTTATCCAGGGATTGGGGCAGAGCATGAGAGCGAGGGCAAGAAAAACAAGCCGGTGCATCCACCCTCGAGCAGTGGGAGAGCCCAGAGGGGCGGAAGTCTCTGTTTGTTTAAGGTGCAAACAAGTGCTGTTAATCTGCTGCCTGTTTGTATTTCTTTAGAGTCTCTGAGTGTGGGGGGGAGCAGAGATGGGGTCTCCCCTTTGTGCGGGGGCAGGGTCAGGCTATTGGAAGTGAAGGTGAGAAAACACAGAGAGGCAGCTGGAACCTGCTTTGGGAGGGTAAGATTTTTTCGGCTATTTATGATAATTAATGGGAAACGTTCCTCAAGCATTTCAGATGATTCTGTAATGAAGTTGGGCCGAATGTTTCCGCTTTGTTCCCCTGAAACCATTAAAAATCCCCCTTCTTTGGCTGCCTTAATGCAATGCTGAAAAGGCACAATGGCATAAAAGTGGCTCTGGGCAGGGTGGCTTGCCTCCCGCCCCACCAGATAGAGCCCTTCAGAGCCCAGATTTTCTGGGTTAATAAAACCTCAGCACTCGCAATGTTCATGCAAAAGCTGCTGTGGATCCCGTGCCCAGGGCTCCTTCATATCCCTGATGTGGGTGGGTGTGTGTGAGCGCCAGCTTGGTGTGCTCAGGGGGGAGCACAAACACACCGGAGTGAGAAAGGGCAGGCACAGCCAGGGAAGCCATCTCTCCTCTGTTATAGAAAAGCTACTTCAGCCCGTGGTTGTTCTGGGAATTTGCTGGGGTGAAATGCTGCACTGGGAGAGGACCAGTGTCCGTGCAAGGGGAAGTGGGGAGTCCAGCCCAAAGGAAAGTCCTTCTAAGTCAGTGCTGTTCTGGGCCAGATCCTGCTCTACCTGCTGGGCTGGGCAGCATCCAGGCACCAGCGGAGAGCAAGGGGCCTGAAATCCAGCCATGACCCTCTGGGTGAATCATTATCAGTCTCCTCTGAGCTGGCTCAGTCTCCTCTTGCTTTTAGCAGTGGAAGGCTTTTCCAGCACACGTGATGAAAAGAAAATCCACCTGCCTGATCTCACACATCTATCAGCACTATTTCCCCAGGGATGATGTATAAAGCTAATGGGAGCTCTCCTGCTAAAGC